TTACTGATTTATTGCTAACAGACTTATTATGTTACTAAAAACAGAGCGTTCTCTTCTTTCGTTTAGTATAATACAGAATTAAATAATACACACTAGTATTCTTAAAGTAATAGAAACATAAAAATAACAAAAATAAACAAGATGATTTACACTTTAACATTTTTTTTAGGCTTTTAAAGCAGTGTAAATTTTTGGGAATGTTCTTCTCCATTAAAATTTCTTTTCCAAAGGAAGCGCGATAGAATATTATTTCCTATGGATTTATAGCATGGTTTTGAACATTTTGAACAAAAATATTGTATAGAAAATTCACTGAAAATAAAATATAGCTGTCTGAAAAATTAAACGATGCACATTAATTTAAAATGAATATTTGGCGACGGTTTTCTACATATATGTTTAAATACAAAGTCAGTCTCTTTGCATATAATCATTCATATGTTTTAGAGATATCATTCAACTTGAAAATGATCTTAACATCGATAATTTCAATAATATCTCTAGGGACTGCTGCTTCAGTTAATGAATTTACATCTTGCATTCATAATTTGAATTCTCTTCAGATTTTGACTCTGCAATTTTTCTTTCCGAATCGTCTTTAGTATCTGTTACACCTATGGTCATTTTTTCAATGTCTTGTTTTTTACTCTCTTCGATTTTACCTTCTGTAACTTTTTCAGTATCAACAACGGGGGACAGTTGTTCTAAATCATTTAACAAAATATTAGTCGAAATACTTTCATTGCTAATTATAGTACGTTTGCAGGTTACTATTTTGCTATTACAGTCTCCTGGATCCGTGTTTATTATATTGTCTCCTTTTCTTTGGAAATCGATAACAACATTGGTTTCGGTATTGCGTATTTTTTCCTGATTATCGTTAACATTAATTTCTACAATATCTTTTTCTTTTTGAATATTGTTAGCCTCATCTTTTACAATATTCTTTTGTTTTTGAATATCGTTGTCATCATGTTCTACAACGTCCTTTTCTTTCTCAATATTGTAGCTATCATCTCCTACTGTGCCTTTTCCTTTTTGGATGTTGTTGTCATCATCTTCCACAATATCTTGTTCTTTCTGAATATCGTTGGCATCGTCGTCAGTTTTTAAGATAATTGTATTCATTGCAATCGATGCAACATTTTCTTTGACAATTGGTTGAAATTCTTCTAGATTATTTACTGTTTGCTCATTATCTTTACAATTGCCTCGATCATTATTTTGACTTACTTCTATGAAACTCGTACCAATTCCTGATCTTTCAGAACTACTATTGTATGAATTGGATCGATCTTGCGTTTCCAATTTCTCGAATGTTTTTGTTATTGTTTTGATATTAGTTTCTTCGAGTGGCTCGGTATTAAAAGATTCCGCTTCTTCCTCTGCTTCATCTGTAACGTTTCTTTCCATATTTTGAATTATTTCATCTACAGTGAGTTCCACGGAGGAATTTGAAGACAAATTGGCTGTGTCCTGTTTCTCTGTATCTTCAACTCGTTCCTCGCTTGTATACGAAGTTGTATCCACTGTATATTTTTCCAACGTTTCATTTTCTTCGTAGTTTCGCAATGTCTTATTATAAGACGTTGTATTTCCAGAAGATGAGACTAAGATATCGATAACGTTTTTCCCATTGAGACTCAATTTAACGTTAATTGGATCACACGAGTCATCGAGTATTTCTAATTGGAATATTGTTTTGCCTTCGTTTGAAAGTTCTTCGAACATTTTATGGGCTTCCAGAGGCCAAGAATTTATAGTTTTTGGTTTACTTAGAGCACAACATTTCGACAAAGCAGGTATATTTACTATATCTGCAGGCAGCATTCTTACTTCATTTGTAACCGCGGTATTACCGTTATCAATGTATCGGACAGTGATAGAATCTCCAGAATGTGAGAGAATCTTAGCTCTATACCATTCACCGTCATCTGGGAATTTCGCAGCACAGATTATGTTGTCTTTGATCGTGTTTAATGGGAGAAAATCGTAAGCCGTTCGCATTCTGTCTAACATTATGTTCAAATCAGCGGTACTGCTTTCAGTTCGAACATAGAATTCATCCAATGAATTAACACGAGTAACAAATACATTCGGTGAATTTTCCTCGCCCAAAGGTGGTAATCGTTCCTCTATGATAGGTGGATAATGTTGACAAAATTTCGCAAGTAGATCCGTTACATTTTCGTGAATTAATGTCAATTTGACCAAGGATGTGTCATTGTCGTCATGATCATCATTTACTACATCTAATAAAAATATTGTTGCTCCATCAGCAGCCAATTTTACAAATTCTTCGCAAGCCTCTTGCGACCATTCTGTGACTCCTTCAGGCATAACTAAACGGCACTTTCTTGATAATGGTGGCACGTTCGTTAGATCATCGGGTATAGCACGTATCTCGGTAGAGATAGCTGAATTTCCATAGTCAATGTACAGAACTTGCATTGCATTTTCATTGTGTGATATAACGCGTGCTCTATACCAGCAATCGTCTTCCGGATACTTGGCAACGCACAACATATCTTTCTCAATTTTATCAACTTTAGGAAACATATGCGCCACGATGAATCTGTCAGTCATAACTTCTAAATCGCTAACAGACTTTTCTTCTTGCACCCAAAATTCACTCGGAGAGTTAATGTGACTTACAAAAGCAGAGTGAGGATCCAATTCGAGATCAACAATCTCATCTATCAAATCTTCTTCGGTGTGAATCATTACAGCAAGATCTTCTTTTACTAATGTGTCGCTAACACTTTGACCGTCTACCAACAAATCTACTCGTTTGGGAATACCATTGGCAATTACCAGTGCTTGTAACAATTCAACGGACGATACTAAATTTTCGAATCTCTTGCATGTTGTAGCATTCCAATCTTCTGAATCTGTAGGAATTACATCTAGTCTGCATTTAACCACATACTCCTTATTTTCTTTCCAAGAATCTGGAATTTGCCGAATATTTCCGGAGTTATTGTCGATAACATCGGTATTTCCATAGTCGACGAACCGCACGGTTGTTATATCCTCATCCGCATCGAGTACCTCAGCTCTATACCATACATTAGTGATGGTATACATCGCGACGCACAAACTTCCTACTTCTAGTACACCATCTACTTCTGCGAATGTAGGGGCCTGTGTTTGAAGCTCAAATTGTTTCTTCGAAAGGTTTGTACTGTCTTGTATAGACTGAAGCCAGAACTGACTTGGAGAATCTACATGCGATACACGTACATCGTATTTACGACCTATTTCCATGTTATGAACATCAATTGTTTCGGACACCTCCTGTTGTGAAAATACATTAAGAGCTCCTAATTTTTCACTAATTTTCTCTCCATTATGTAGCAGTTCTACTGTCCATTTTTTATTTACGTTATGAAAAACTGCTGTAAATTCTTTATTCGACAAATATTCTTGTAGTATTTCTACTTGTTCAGATATCGTGCCTCTAAGAGTTATTGGTAACGACACATTGATAGATAATTGATACGGTACATGAAAGCTTGGAAGCAAAGTCATTATTACGTCATGAGTAACTTCTTCGTTGTTGCCGTAATCAATGTAGTTCACAAAAACTTTGGTTTCTGTACAATTTATGACTTTGGCACGATACCAATGACCATCGGCACTTTTTGCAGCACACAATAAATCTACTTCAGGTTCCACCGATTCACCAGTCTCGGCATAATATTTGTCCATCGCTTCCATTAAATTTTTGTCCAAAGCATAATCTACATTACGTTGTAACCATATGCTGGCAGAATGATCTGCGTACGATACTAGCACTTTATGAGTAGAACTTAAAATAGGCATTGGGCATATCGGTGATATTTTTTCATTAATATCTTCAGAAATATTAATTTTATCACCCACAGTACTAAACAACTTTACAACAAGTCTGTAAAAAACATAAGAAAGATCATGTAGACAATACAAAGCCTAATGAAAACATAACCGACTGGCTTACATACTATAAACATACCTGTTATTGTCAACTTGATCGATATACATGATTACTTCCTTTCCTTCAACAGATTCTTTTAATGATGCATCTGCTTCGGGTGACGATGTAACGTTCATAAGAGAACATTCTACCGCCTGATTTTGCATAACTGAGAGGTCTCCAGGCAATGCTAACATCTAAATTAATGCAATATTATATTAACGTTTGGTACATACACGTATTGTAAATAACAATAAACACAAAAACGACACAAAGTATTTTCATATAATTACAATAGTTTTCAATATTTTCCTTCAAGCATTTAATCATGTATCTTTGTCCCTAATGATAACAATAGCGTATAAAGCATTTTATATTGTTCTTTAAATATCGACAGCTTTAGCATGATTTATTATTGTTAAAACAATATTTATTTTTCCTAAATTATATAATTGAATTCAATTTATATTATGTTATTGCATTAATATAATTCAATGCCACAAGTATGGTATTAAGTAACATCTATGTTATATATCCAGCATTGATGCTCCACATTCTCTTTAATGAAATGATTTTAGCATTTAAATTAATCTCTTTCTTTCAAAAGAACTCACGCAGTCTGAGAGAATTTCATCGTAAGCTCCAGTATCAATGAATTTTACATCAAAGCCTGCAGATTGTGAATGGTTACAGATTACAGCTCGCCTCCAAACTCCATTCGAATAAACCAAACAACCTGTGCCTAGGCATATCTCATGGGCTGATAATCGTTGCATCACCTGCCATTGGCATACTTATCCTTACCAATCTTATTTGCTTAAAATTATTTATCCATGAACAAGGACTTTCAATTTTGAAAAAGTTAGAATAACTGAATTTTACTAGCCTGCTTATTTCAATGAAAAATTAATGTACAAATTTATA